GGTGTATCGGAGCAGAAAGAGGAGGCGAGAGCCCGGCTCTTTAAAATAATCGTCTATAGAGTGAAGTTCCCAGGGTTTCCTCTGCCCGCCTCTCACTGGCAGAGTTTCCAGTCTGTTCACATCGCTGCGTCTCCCCGAGGAACTGAAACACTGGCACTTTAATGATGTTCTCCTCTTTATTAAAGGATTAGGTGCTGATTGAATGGCCGTATCAAAGACTAATGTTGCACAACACAGGCAGGGAACTGAATAAATATCCTGCAAAGGCTTTTCTATACCACCATGATTAAACTAGGGGGTGTTACAGTACATGGTGGTTCTGTCCTACAGTATGTCCGTTTTTATTTATTTGTAACAGTTTCACCTTTCCGCTTTCATCCATTACAAACATATGTTCGATTAATTTACGTCCCTGAGCTTCATTGATTGTTATAATTAAAACACATTGTTTATTATTTCTTAACCCCTGCCCGATACGATAATTGACCAATCATGGCTTAGCAACCGTATCTAGGCACAACAAGCCTATCAAGCTTTTTATTTCTCCCTTGGATTAACAAATATAGCTGGATATGCTGCCAATTTATCCAATCGGCTAACCGCGGTACTGCAATAATAAACATAGTAGCATGTCTGGCTAACTACTGCTATGCCTAGAGTGGTAACCTAGCATTCCTTCTATGGCTATGAAGCCTTTCATGAGATTATTCTGTGGGTTTACAGTTTGCATAACAGCCCTGTTTACTTGCTGAACACACAAGTCCCATTCATAAAATGCTTTTCTACTTTAACATCAAAGGTGAAACTTGCTTCTTCAACTAGGTAAGCATTCAAACAGTGTTATGTTATGTCTAATAATAAAAAAAATAGACCCTATACATGGCTTTAAGTGTTTAGACTTTTAGTATAGCATTATATTGTATAGATGCAGTTCTAAAACCAAGTTAGTTGAAAGTAATGCAAATGTAGACAGATTGTTCACCTGTCTTTGGAGCTAGTAAGCTAGCATTGGCTGGTAACCTTCTGTTAACTACCTCTGTATGAAAGTGAGGACCCTTTGTCTCAAAAAGTGCACAATAAATTATCTGTACGATGTCATCGTAAACAGCATTTTTTGATCAATGAACAACAACTTGACAGAAATAGCAACGGCAGCTAAGGGGTGCAAGGCTTCGCGATACATTCAATTCTACTTTATTTTAACTAAGACTGATGTTTGTATTTGTTTTTTGGTTTCGTAATCAGCCATCTCATGCATAAGAAGTGGAATGTCAACGAGACTACCTGATTGAATAAAGAATAAATGAAGAGCGGAGGCAGCCTCACCCAATTTACCATGATACAAAGATGATAATGAAAGAGATGGGGCTCACTGCCAGGCAGATAAGCATCTTTGGCAGCAGGTTTGCAATCACTGTACACACACACACAGACATACACACACACACACACACACACACACACACACACACACACACACACACACACACACACACACACACACACACACACATATTCCAAATTCAGCACATAAATCCAGCTTGATTTGCATTCTGTGGAAGTTACCGTGCCGGGGCTCGCTGCACTACTCGACCCTGCTGCCCCTAATTATCACTCAGAAGGCTGAAGACTGGCATAGAAATCTCATAAAAGCCAAACCCCATAGCAGGGATACATGTTCCCGATTCCACTGTTGCTTTAGAGGTCAAATGTGATATTTGAATTAAAGAAAAGAGGCTGTGGATAACAAAAGCCACAGCTGTGTAAATTCCACACCAAACACCGACAAAGCAGACGTGTGATTTCAAACCTAATTAGTATTCCTTTTAAGAAGGGCCCTGTTGCCCTCTTGTCATTAAAATGGATTATCAGAGACCTTTCGGAGGATGCACCAGAGGTTGACGGAGACATTTCTGGATGTCAGTCATCATTGCTTTGTGTCAACATGAACAGCAGCTCAAGTGTTTGCAAAGGTAAATCAATTCTTACATTACAGTTAAATGGTAACTTTTTTGCAGTGCTTTGTTTAAGTTGTAAGTGTCTAAGTTAATGGGGACTCAAGTGATTATTGAGAGTAACAGGCTAAAATGTAATCTTATCTAGCACAATCAATGTACATCCAATGAAATTGCTTGTTTCCGCAGTGATTGCCTCCTTTGTGGGTGTGTCAGGCAACATTATAGAGACAAAATGGAAACGTTTTTATTCCCTTTAGCTTGATTAAGTTACTCCGTCCAACCAAGTCTTGCTCAAGAAAAAGTATTGTTCAGAAATACCATGTTGCATCCACTTCAACCCAGACATGTAAAAGCATTTAGGTGAGAATAAACTGAGCTTTCTGCACATTCCTCATTTCGCTCAATTTAACACTGTCTTTGCATGGGCTGATTCTGTGAGAACAGCACCATCTACAGGCCTGGCATATGTACTACAGCGTCTCCAGCGCTTTGGAACGGCAATGTCCGTGGCTGTCTCCTCCTGATTGGTGGAGTTGGCCCAAAAGCCGTAGCGCCACTTCTGTGACGTCCATAGAAGTGTTCAAATCTGGATCAGTCTGTATCAGATCCGTTGCAGCCCCTTTTTAAGAGATTTGGGTATGGAGGGAAAGAGAGAGGGTTGTGTTTTCTGACACTTGGTGAGTTCCCTGGAACACCGGGGACACATGTTCATGTATAAAAGACGTACAAAAGTGCATTTTGCATGATAGGTCACCTTTAAACAAAACACTTGTAGTTGACGGACATTGACAGTGTGTTCATTATAGCTGGCTTCACGGCTGTCAGATTCAGAACTCTCATCAAATACTGGACTGTTTTTTGAAATGGTAGTCCCCATCAGTTAATTAGAAACAAAAAAATGGTTAATAGGGTCTAGGTTTAACATTTCTAAACTTACCAAGTACCTAAATCTGGTTTCTTTGGCACATCATCATGAGTTTTGGTGCCGGCTTTGCTGCGGCCCGGGGTTAACACGGCATAGTTGGAGAGCTCAGTGGTGGTGGAGCATTGTGTATTGTGTCAGGGAAGTGTTGTGTGTTTTTTCCCAGTGTGCTGCGAAGGGCCGCTCTGTGTCAGAGGTGAGCATGTTGAATGGAGGTCGTGGGACCCCCTCCACAGCTGGGAGGAGACGTCCCGTCCCCCCGCCATCCTACCCTCCCTCCCCATAGAGAGCACTGAGGCAGAATGCTCCGGGCACAACAAGACGGGGGCTAAAGGCTTTGTCTCTGGTTCACTGCCTTAAAGTAGCCTCAGGATTCCTGGCAACCAGGTTTGACTGCTGGAGCCGGCATGCAGGGAGAATAAAGCACAATGGCGCTTGTATCCCTCAGCTGATGTACAACACGGTGGCTCGCTGTGGGAAACAAAGATGGTGGTGATGTGAGGTCCGGTGTGATTTAAGAAGGCTTGTTACCAGCAGACAGGAATGTAGATGTCTTGTTTTGTGAAGTTGTTTTGAGCTCATAATCAAGAGCAGTATTTTTCTTCGTTGTAAATCTCAGGGTTTTTTCACTTGGATTTCTTACATTAGTATTCCGCGATATGATAACGCACTTTTTCTCAATGTCATATTATTCGGAGCGAAATGCAAATATTTGAGCGATTTAATTTTGATGTAGAAGAAGTTTAATTCCGCTGAGATGATCCAATTATCCTGCAGGCCCAGGATAAGCATTAATATGCTCTGGTTATTAGTGGGTACATAGCCTCTTCTTACTCGTGCCTTAAGTAAGTTTCCTCCTTTTTCATGTCCTTCCTCTTAGCACACACTCGAGCCAAGAGCCTTTGATTCCTATATACACTCCGTTGTAGAAATATGTACTCTGCTTTTAAATTGTCTGGGTCAAAGTCAGGTTGTGCGTATATACAGCATTCATTCCCTGGAAGAAACTTAATAATGCTGCTGCCTCTTATGTGCAGCACCAGTTAAGTCTGCAAAGTGTGCCATGAATTCAAATGAGACGACGGTAGCTATAAGGCAGGCGCACATACTAACCAGAAAATTAAACCTCAAACATGGACGTGCATGTATGTTAGATGTCAGGAAGAGGCACGATAACGATTTATGTCATGCCTAATGATCTGTAACACTAAAAATAAGCTTTGAGAGTGTGTGTTTTCTTCCGTGAGGAGTGTGTGAAATGAGAAGAGCCCCAGGCTGAGATCCTATCAGAGCTTTTCCACACATCCAGGAATCACAAACCAACAAAGTCCATATGACGCAGTGATTGAAAGTGGAACAGTGGATCGGTGTACCCTGATTCAATTTAGAGGGATAGTTTGATTACCCAGGATGCAATATGCTTGCAGGGGACTCTAGGTTAATGCTTGTTTTGGGGTTTTACGTAGTAGCCGGTAAACTAACAGTGACATTTGGGGCGACAGCTAAATCAAATTTGAATCCCCTTATTTGGCCTGGCCCCTTATTTCATTTTAGACAGCATAGATCTGTGTGCTCACTTAAAGTCCAATCCATTGAGAGCGGGGACTGCGCTCGTCTTCCATCGGCACACAGAGGATTTAAGTGGCTCAACCAAACTTAATTAGCCCCTTCTGCGCGACACGCCTCGGCCTTTTGCTCAAATGAATCTCAGGTTAACGCACGGCACCCACTCTACTGTCTCTGACGGGAGGTCAGATTTATCCTTCGCTGAGAAATGACTTAGCTAAATGAGGGCTCCTCCATGCAGCCTCTGCTAATAACCTTGATTAATTAAAGAGAGGCTCATCCTAATTAGGGTCTTATTCTACTCGGTCCGGTTGTGACCCTGTAAAATGAGCCGAGGCAGTAATGAGTCATCTCTCAGACAGAATATCTCACTGAGCTTCATGTGAGGCAGTAATGATCAGAGATAATGGTTTCATCAGTGTGGAACAATGAACCCTAACCGTTCTCTTCAGTTTTACAGATTACAACACCTCCCTGTTTCTTCTCCATCAACAAACCATCCAATATCCTAAACAAAGTTGCTAAATAATTTCTCTTTTTGCTCTTTCTTCCAGGTCAATGGCAAAGACCTCTCCAAGGCCACCCACGATCAGGCGGTGGAGGCCTTTCGTGCCACCAAGGATCCCATCATGGTGCAGGTCCTGCGCCGATCTCCACATCCCAAAGTGTCCGGCCAGGCGGGTGACTCCCAGGTTTCTGACATCAGCACCCAGACGGACATCACCCTGCAGCACATCATGGCCCTCACAAAGCTGTCTCCTTCTTCACCCCCCATGACGGAGCTGGGGGAGTATCTGCTACCAGAGGAGTGAGTAACCACTATAGAGAAAGCCTTGTTAGTAGTACATCTACACACACTCATTACAGCAGGCATAAGGAAAGTGTATTAAGGGCTGCCATGGCAGAAGGGACAAACGTCCTGCTTAACCTGAATAAGTATTAAAAGTATTTGAAATTAGGTTAAGAAACAGACATATTCTCTTCTACTAACATGGTGATTCATGATTTCACAGGTAGCCAACGTGTGTTGGCCCCGCAGTGACCTAAATGTGACACACTGTGACTTCTTGCCAGACTAGTGATGAATGAAGCGTTAGATAGACAAAAGGGATGCATGCAAAACAAATCCCCCTTACTCAGCAGGTGTTGCAATAAGAGCTTAAAAGGGTGAAGTGTTGTGGTGTCTCGTAAGCTTTTAAACTTAACTTATAAATAGAGCTGGAACCAACATTTTTTATCAATATCGATGAATCTGCAAATTATTTTCTAAATGTTTAACTAATAGAAAATAGTGGAAACCTTATTATGATTAAAAAAACACGTAAAAAATCGTGAAATCTTGCAAAAAATCTGCCATTTTTGTATAAAGAATTACTTAAAGTAACGATTAATCGATATTTAAAAGTTGGTCAATGTTTCTTTGTTGAATAAATAATACATTAAGTGACTTAACATTGCATTTCTAGATTGTATTAAAATATTAATGCCTCAAGCGGTACGTCACCACCAATGGTCCCCACCTTGACACCCCATGCCTACCTTCCCGGTTCTCTCTGGTTTGAAATGCATTCAGAATGTAAACCCAAATCTACACATGCAAAACCTATCCTGATCGTGGCATTATTTGTGGAACCGGAGTCGGGAATTCTTAGGTGTCATAAACACTTGGCTATGTTAAAAGTTCACTTCACTCAAAGTCAGACATTTCCCCTTAATGAAGAGAGTGACAGCTAATCTTGGTCTGCAGACGACACCGCTGTGATCAGGCAGGGTGTGTCTGAAGGGAAAATGTCCCTGTCACTTACTGGAGACGACCGCTCCTCCGGGGCACACAGAGGCATTGAAATGATGGTTTATGCGTATTTGCATATTCCTAAATTACATCTTTTGTTTCTTAGTGTGTGTGTTCGCTTGTGAGTGTGTGTTAGGCCCTGCAGCGCGGAGAGTCTGGCTGCATTTCCACCCTGTGGCGGCAGCAGTTGCCCTTTAACAAATGATTATGATGCCTATAATTGATTTTCGAGTCAAATTAATAACTCGCCATGTTAATTTGCTATTACCCTCGGGATGTAGCTTCAATATATCTGATTGAAGATTGATTTCTACATTTAGTTCTTATTACTTCTTCTCATTTATTTTTTAAACTCTGGGGCAAAATTAAATCCGGTTTGATAAATGTGTTAGTCAAGGACTTTTTAAAACCGGTCTGTTTTACGATCTTTTCTTTTTTCATCAGGCATCCTCAACACGCATACTTCGACCCCAATGACTTCCTGGAGGTCATTCAGCACGACTTGGAGCGCGAGGAGCTGGAATACGAGGTAAACATCATCTTCCTCCTTCCTCCTCTCAATGAAGATACATCCAGACAGCAGAGCATCATTGTTTCATGAGCAGAGCCAAGGTCGCCTCAGTGTCTCTAGCCCAATGGCCCTGCTAGCCGCAAGTCCCCATGCATCAGAGTTATTGATGGGGCACTCTCTCTCCGCATGTAGGCCAGACAGGAATCGAGTTGCTGGTTTGTTCCAGCAGATGCACAACGGTGACATCATTACTTATTAGTGACAAGGCGTAATAAGTCTTCCCCGGCCGGTGGATAATTAGATGGCACAGATAATGGCTCTGCGGTGATGAATCGCATGATGCGCACTAACAATGCCCCGGATGAGGCCATGATGAGGCCATGATCAAGCCTCCGTTGGGCTCCTTTAATGACCTCCGCCGACCCGGACACCCCCTCCCCTCAAACCCCGGCCACCTACTGCTTGATGTTAATATTTTTTATGAAGGAGCGTTGAGGCTGAGATCAGAAAGGTGAAGCTTTGTGCGGCTAACGGCAGATGGGTAAGACTGGGGGTCTTCCTAGAATGACTTTTTGTTTTTTTTAGTCAAAAGACAAGTGAAAAAAAAGCTCTGCTCATGTTTGATACGTTTAATTTTTTTCTGTGTCACTAGGTATAAAACGGAAAGGAATCCACAGACCGTTGTCATGCTGTGTTCAAATGCTTTCTTGTTCACTTGAATAGAGCAATATACAAAAGATATCAGAGCGAACGGTCTGTGTTTTAAGTTACTACTAGCTCTAAGCAGCTTATAAGACACAATTTAACGTTTAAAAAAATACAAAAGCAAGCTTTTCAATGAAACATTTTAATTACATACAAAAAAGATAAGTGACATATATGAAACGTGTGTATACAAATTAAATGTACAATGTTCCACTGTTTACACAGACTTTAAAACAGGTTTCTGTTTCCTAAGTCAATAAATAACATGGAGAACAAATTCTACTGTATAGGAATAATATGGTCACTATAACCTTGAAACTCACTACACCGCATGATCTGATACAACTCCCTGTACAAATGTTACACTACTGCATTACATGTATATCATAGTAAACACAAAAATGCCCAAAGACTCTTAACTTGTGGCATCAAAAGGGTGTTCATTTGTTCCCAAAATGTACCTATTCCTCCACGATAATGATCAGCATTATCTATTTTCGGGGCGGTTCACCCTCACGGTGCCCGTCCTCTGCCCTCCCAGAAAAGCCCCTCTCGTATCTTTGTCTGTATCTGTGAGATTACAGGTGGCGACAAGTGAAAAACGGGGCTCTGCCCGTCTGCAGTCCGCTGCGTCATCTCTCATTCTGTCAGTGAAAGCCAACGGCTCCCCGCGTCCAGCTGAAAGATCCATTACAGTGATTGATGGATCTCTGTTGCTCCATGAACCCATTTCCTAGTCCATATATTCCGTCCATTCCAGAAAAAACAACGGCGAAAAACCAACCATTGTCTACTCAATCTTGTAAAAAAAATGAAAAATCCTATAATTTCAGATGTGTGGGTTATTTATTCGTTCATGTGTTTCCAGGAAGTGGATTTGTACCGAGCCAATATCCAAGAGAAGCTGGGCCTGACGATCTGTTACAGGACTGATGATGAGGATGAAGCTGGGATTTACATTAGTGAGGTATGTGTTACGGGGGAACGCTCAAATCTACAGGAAGTGGATAGCGACTGTTAGGGCTGTCAGCGGGGATGAAGTCATGAGATATGAAGTGCAGGAACGTTTATCTCAGAGTGAAAGTCAGCAGTAATCATTTGTATATTTTCTTTTTTTTTAGATTGATCCACACAGCATTGCTGCGAAGGACGGCAGAATCAGAGAAGGCGACAAAATCATTCAGGTAAGATCACTGAAAATCTCATAAAATGAAAATAAGAGAGGGGAGAGAGGTCATATTGCAGAATAAAAAATAAAGGGATGTCCAAACAAAACTATTCAAAAAGAGGTATAAAGACACAATTCTCACAAGGTACAGGAATGAAACTGCTAAACCATAACTGTTTATATTCTTGTTTTGTATACTATTTATGAATTTGTGTTTGTATGAATTTGTGTATGTACATATGTATATATATACATATATAGAGACCATTCTCCTAACTTGCCTGTATATATTATAATCTTGAATAATTTATATAATCATTCATATAAGTATACATTTATATTGTATGTTAACATAGATTAAGATGTAAAAAAAAAATTTTTTAAAAGGGAGAAGGGGTCGGATTAAATAAGTGTAAACTTCTTCCGAGCCCTTTTCGGACGTGTAATTAGCTAAAGCTTTGTTGTTTATTGATATCAGACAATGATACTACAGATTATTCAATTATTAATTAAATATTTCGTTTTGTTATTGCATTCATTTGTATTGTACTGTATCATGTCTGTATCACCTTTTGTTTCATTTGTATTTTCTTTAGTTTTACACGCTCGAAAAAAATAAATAAACTAAACTAAGATATTAATGTGTAGAAGTAAAACATTTCAAATAATATAGCAATATCCTGTAAAATTATGTGAAAACATGACTAAAACTACACATCTTCAGATGTTATACATACATAAGTGTCCTAATAATAAAAAGGAAATAATTTGTTGTGTTAACACTTTAAACTTGACAGTTTTTTAACCCGCACCGCCTAGTGGTTAAAGCATGTTATTGAATAATTTTTTGTTGAATATGTTATATTTGAGGAAGAAAATATTAAGAGTAAATACACAATAGGGGGAAAGTAGAAGGTTAATGATAGCAATATAGAATATAACATTTCAAGAAGATACTGTAAGTGATCTCTACAATAAAAAAGTTTAGTGCAGGATGTACAAAGATATTAATAGGAGGATGTGCAAAACAGAAAAACCTAATTCAACTTTATTTGAACATTAAAGAATACTTTCGGTTAACGTCTTGTTTTAAATAAGAAAAAAGCTTTGGGGGTATCTATCAACAGATAAATATTAAGCTTGACAAAGTACTTAACGTCTAATATATTGCTTTCCTGCAATGTTAACTATGTTGAAGCACTCATTTTTAACTGATATAATACATATGAATTATACTCTTATAAGATGTATGTAGATAGTATAAGAATGTGTACTTCTGGGGGGCGGGGCTGGACCCGTTCGAGTCCAGTTTTGGATAGTCTGCCGTAGTTTCATTCCATTTCATAGAGCTATTTGACGCTCGGTGTAACCTTGGCACACTATCACTCCAACGTCCAATCACAGAGCTTGAAGATTAATCACGGGGTTTGTCAAGCAATGGGACTGTAGTCCCAAACGATAGCTGAGGATTATGGGTAGCGTAGTGTCTTCGGCCATAAACTCCGAAAAACTATTTGTTTCTCTGAATCGAAGGGGGAAAACACAAAAGCATTGTAGACAATTTAAACCAATCAATGTTGTGAATCAACAAGGATAAACTGATGTTTTTAGTTGATGAGTACTGCAGATTACTATGCAAACTTCGAGACCGGAAATACTGTTTTCACCCCAAGCTGTTGCCTGGCAACGCAATTCTGTTGATAGTTATTTCATATCGCATTAACAACATATCCCAACGTGCATTGCGGCTAAAACATCCAATTACCGAGCTTCAACCATAGCTGAGGATCTTGGGTAATCAGTTCAGTGGGTGTGTATCGCCTAGGTCTGTTTCCGGTGACTTTATTTTGAAATTCAGTTCCTGACGGACGGCAAAAAAGCCCGATGTTACAGAATTAAACCAATAAATAAAAACAAGGATAATTGTATGTTATTGTTGAGTAAATAACAGTGTGTTATTTAGAAAAGAATAACAAATTAGAAGGAAAAAAATATTTTAAAAATACTGATTTCAGTATTCTGAGGCTCTGAGAGTATTATTATTCATCCCGCTTCCATCACATTAGTATGCATAGAAAGTGACAGGTGCTGTGACAGGTCACACCTCTCCAAATGCTAATGAGCTAAGTCCTGCCTCCCCTTTGTTCAAGGTGCGAGATCTCAAGTAGGTGTGATATCCCAAGTAGGTGTGAGATCCGTCGATAGGAGGGGGGTGATGTGTATTCACAGGTGTGAAAAGCCCCCATGCTCCTTATGGTGTATAATTAAAAAAAATTCAATCACATTAGTATGCATAAAAAGTGACAGGTGGGCCCGCCCCCAAGTCTATTAAAACAAAATGCCGCTTCCATCACATTAGTATGCACAAAAGTGACAGAAGGGCCCGCCCCAATTATGTGATGTCAGAAGACCGAAGGGGTGGAGTGAGATAAAAAAAAAAGAACCCCGTGCAGATAAAAAGCCAGTCATTTCCAATCATCAAGTCATCTTTCCAAAACGAAAAAATGGCCAAGAGACGCCTCGATATGGGTTTAATCAGCGAGACGCCTGTGACAACTTACCGCCATCCGTCCGGAGCGCCAATCAAGAAACGGATGCAGTATCTGTGCCGGGTTCAAACACCTCCGGTCGAAGATCTTGAAGAGAAATGGCTTCTGGAAAATGAACATGTTTGGGGATACGTATTCAACTATATGGCGAATGAACTGCATTTCTACAATCTGAAGAATGGAGAAACGTATGGACCCCACAGTGTTAAAGCAACGTTGACCTCAACAAATTGGGCTGTGTTAACTCTGGTGTCTTCCAGAGATCTGCCAAGGCACAC